ACCCCCAAATGGAACGGATTGGATGGTGCCACCTAGCCACCATACTTGACAACAGCACCCCCTCAACAGCTGTATCTTCTCCTTCTTCTTCTTGTTCGTTCTTCCTTCTTCTGGTCTTGCGTCTTCTTTTTTCCTGCTCTTTGTTTGTTTCTTATTTTTCCTGCTTGCTTATCCTGTTATGAAGAATCCTAGCGCCAATCTAGCGCTGCCTTACTGTATCACCATAGTCTGCCAGTCAGCTGCTTATTTTTCCTGCTTGCTTGTCTTCTTCTTGTTGTGCATTCATCTTCTTCTTCTCCTTCTTTGTCTTCTTGTTTGTTCTTCGTTTTTCTGGTCTTGTATCTTCTTTTTTCCTTCTCTCTGCTCTCTGCTTGTTTCTTCTTTTTCCTGCTTGCTTATCCTCATATGAAGAAACCTAGCGCCAATCTAGCGCTGCCTTGCTGTGTCACCATAGTCTGCCGGGGGGCCCGCTTCTAAACGAAGATCTTGCACTTCTATTAGTTTCTTATAAATTAATTCTTACTTATCACTTGCTACTTAATGCCTAGACCACATTCATCAACAGAACCTCAGACTCAGACCTCAGATTCTGTGATTCCCTGAGCAGCTCAGCTCAGCCAACTGATTTAGTAAATGTGTTGTCAAGTTGTCTTTTCTCATTTTCTTCTTTGCGCCTTCTCTTTCCTGTTCCTTCTCTTATGTGTCATTATGTTTTTGGATTCTCATTTCATGGAGACATGGAGAATATGCATTTAGCCTCATTACAATCAACTGAACCTGGTCCATATGAGTTTATAGAGAGGTGTGTGTGACCTGCAAAAGTTTGACGCCTGGTTTGTGCTTTATACACCTGGATACCGTGAACCTGGGTTCTGATTTCATGTAGAATGTACAATGTAGTTTGATGTTAATCAGCTGAAACTGGTCCACATTCCCACCTTGTGTTCCGCCATGGCGTTTGCGACCCTAAGTTTAGTACTTCACTAAGATTCCACTGCCTTCATTTCATGAGCATTGTTCATCTTGCTTGATTCCCGTTCTTTTTGAACTTTTTTGACTCAGTGTGTAAAAGTGAATTTCACAGACTTACACCAAACACCTGACTTTTTTTAAAAGAAACCCTAGTGGCACCCAGGCGTCTGAACCCCTAAAACAGTAATATTTAATTTCATTCGCGAAATTTGTCATACTTTTCCCCCTTCTTGCTTAACCCTGTCAAAGGCACAAACTTTATCCACTTCTTTTCCACGAATTTTCAATATATATTCCTCCCGTTTTCTTTTCAAGTTTCTCTCAGGAAAGCCGGTTCAAAATCAAGCACTTACCTTTTCTCACCATGCGTGGTTGGATTCGTGGCTGTGCTTGGGCGTATACATTGCCCGAGTGAAACGTATCTTGAACAGCTTCTTGGTTCACTGTTTCTTCACCCGCTGTGTGCACAACCTGCTGGACAAGAGTGTCAACGCAGTGTCAAGTCTCATATCTTGTGAGTGATGCACGGTCATGCCACAGCGACATCCACTCTACATTTACTCCAAAGATGGAATTCGGTGAAACTATTGGGAACCCTTCCTCTCAATTGGTTTCACCTCAGCCACAGAAGGGCAAAACAAGTGGAACGCTAGGCGTAACGCTGCTGAGAAAAGCACTCACGCTGATGGCAATGTGAAGCCATAGCAATCTGTCCTTAAAACTGGAGGGAAAAACACAAACTTGAAGTGTGGTCAAAACAGCTGTTTCTCGACCCAAACTCAGAGGCGGCAAAAAAAACAAAAATACATCATAAGGTCGTAACATTGACATCAGTTTGAAGCCCTGCATGGTTAAAAGCTGCTCAAAACAAAACACCAAGTGATGGGCTCATCCGTGTCGCGAAGGCTTGCCGACATCTTTTCTTCTCTAATCCAACTTCCATCCTGCAAATCCGCGATGAGCAAACTGGCAAACCACAATGCTGCAAAGGCAAGTTGAGACGGTGGTGCGCAAGGGGTTGGGTGAGGTGTTGCGAAAGAAAACAATTGGACAAATTCACCTGACCAGCGATTGACAAAAGAGTGAAAAGTGAAAAGGTAGCAAAGACATTGCAACGCAAAGCGCTGAGCCGAGTGAACAAAAGCTGAACAATTGAAATACAACTAGCAAACGAGTTGGTGGCATAAACAGCGGCTCGTCCTGTTGGCTAAAAATATCAATTTCATCTGCGTCACACTTCACTTTGTTCGGCTTCTCTGCCTTAATTGCCTCACGGCAAAACGACAATAACCACCATGCACTTGCACACGCGTTGAACAAAACATGTTCTGGCTTTCATCGATGCCTGCTTTGTTTGTCTTCTTCATTCAACGTTCACCAAGGCACACTATCAAGTTTGATTGAACAACAACAAGCTCTGAGCTCTGGACTTTCTTAAGGTCATCCACCTTTGAAATGAATCAAACTGAGCCAAGGGCTTTGTATAGCAACGTGATGACGACTTGAACGAAGCATGCGACGAAAGCATGGGGACGAACCAGCAAGAAGGGCACAGCAAAGCTAAGGTCACTGCGTTCGCCAACTCTCCCTTGACTTGGAAAGCATTGCCAATCTGCTTGAATGTATCACCGTCCTGCAATTGCAACAGGGGGTGGGCGACAGCCAATGGCTGCGCCTTTCGATAAGCAAGTGCAAAAGAACAATGCGCATGACAAGCAATGCATTACGCAAGAATTTTGACCTTGGGATGTGAAAATGGCTGAGGGAAATTTCTTCATGAAGTTTCAGCTGAACAAACCACTTCTGTTCTTAACCTACCACTAGTCAAAGGCTTGAAAAGGAACAAAGGCATAAACTGCTGCATTGACTTTTGCAAATTACAAGCCTTTGATGCTTGAGTGGGAGAACTGACGGAGCACAACCCTACTTTTATTCACACGACCAATCAACACCGGTTTTCTCACAGGAACTTTGCAAAGGAAGAAACAAAACGAACATAGGGATGTAAAAACAAGGTTGCTTGTTCAACAGATGCAACTTTCAACTGTCAACGTCTGTTGAGGTGGTACTTTTTTGGCTTTTCGTCAAAAAGTTCTTCCTACACCTGTCAAAAGGGCATAGCAAAGGAACAAGGGCATGGCAAAACATCATACAAAGTCTTAGACTAAATCCTCTCTATCAAATTGAGGAAAATGTTGAGAACATATCATTCAACAAATCCTGAGGAATAAATACGCTACTGCTAGTATTTTATGCATAAAACATTTACTTCCCTCAAAAGAACATGGCAAAGGAACTAGCAAAAGGCAAAGAAACCATATGGTTTCCTTTTCCTAAACTGTCACCAGCATGCAACACCCTTTTTGCGCGCGATGGCTCAAACTCAGGCGTCCTTACGCCGTTCCCTTTGCCCATCTTGGGCTTCCTTCCCCCCTCAGGAATCCGGACGCGAAACGCATCACGGATCCTTATTGAGAGGGTCAGTTTGGAGTGAGGTCTGCCGTGATCATTTTCTGTGCTACGCCTTTGGCAGTCTCTCGCGCCTCCCATATGTAGGTTTGGAAGCTGTCTGAAGCCCATCGTCCCCAGCGCTTCACTAGGGAGGTGTCTTGGTACTGTGCCCACAGGGCACTTGCCCCACCGAACCTCAGCGAGTGAGCGCCCAGGTCCCCTTCCGGGAGTCCCAGACCTTTGGCTGCCCTGACGGATTTCGCAACACACACCTTTTCCGCAGTGCGAAAGTGGTTTCTGACCTGTCCCCGATTGTAGATGTCTGTCTTGGATCCTCGCACCAGAAGGGTGACTTCGTCAACTTCGCTGATCCGGTTCAGCGCCACGGCATTGCCATTGAGCTTCAAGGTGACGTCGGACCCACGCAGGCCTCTTCTGGGATCTTGGTACCCGACATCAAGGTATTCCGAAGCCCGAAGTAGGAAGAAAAATCCCAAGGTGAGGGCGCCCCAAAGGAGGCTAGCTTCCTCGGCCCTTCCATACTGCAGATGTTCCCCAAGCCATTTCAACATGTCTGGAGTCACGGGGTCGCAACCCGGCCAGGGCAAGCGGGATCCTTGGCGTGTGCATCAAAAGATCTGGGTATCCCAACGTCAAGTGCATGCTGCGTATGGCGGAAAGTCGCAGTTTGATGGTGCCCGGTGCTTTGGCTTCATTGGAGGCACAGTGGACCAGGAAGTCGATGACCAGTTGTTCCTCTTGACGGCTATAGGCCGGAACATATCTGACTGGGTCTTCACCCCTTCGTTTGCAGAAGAGTGACCACCAGCCCCATTGCGACTGGTAGCTGGCGGCTGTGCTCTGCGAGTACCTCGAAAGTAACAGTGAGAATCCTTCTTGGTCGAATTCGCGCCGTCCTTGAACTTGAGCAAACCTAAAGCTCTTTCCCGCGGGGTGCCTTCTGGCAGCAGCCCTTGGTCCACCCAGGAAACGCACGTTGGGTTCTTGCACGACTCTTCTACCTTTCTTGGGGGGGCTGAATCTCACTTTCTTTCTGGTTCCGCCGACTTTGGTGGCCTCCAAATAGACCTTTGCCGATCCTCCTGGGTGGTTTGACCCCCATTTGGAAAGGAGTCTTCTGATGGCCAAAGCCATGGCTAGTATAAATGCCAGCAGTAGGCTGTCAAAAATCATTCCTGAAGCCTGATCGAGATCCCACTCAGCTTCAAGGGCGCAAAAATCATTCCTGAAGCCTGATCGAGATCCCACTCGGCTTCAAGGGCGTCTCCAGGACTCCTCTTCAGTCCTTGGTCAAAATTGCTGAGGTTCGGGGCGGAAAGACCTCCGGCCAAGGAGCTCCCCTCGGCAGTCTGGTGCGCGATGGCGTGATTGCGGTCACGCTCAGCGTCGTCTTTGGTATGCCCTTGTCCCTCGCGCTTCCGCTGCTTCTTGATCTTCTTACGGCTGGCGGTGTCTGGCGCCCGCTTGTTCCAATTGCCCTCTCGTCGAGCCTCATTCTGGAGGTCCGCTCTGAAGGTTCGAAGGTCTTTTTGGGCTGCATCATGAAGCGCTTTGTCCAACACCTTACCGGCTTCTGCAAGATCAACATCCAACAAGGGTCCTGTTCCTGGTCCCTTCTCTGCTCGACTCCAGGCGTCGACCTCCTGTCGGTGCTGAGCCGCTCTTTCTCGTGCCCTTTGGGCTCTTCTGGCAACCCAGACGGATCTCCCCGCCTCAATCTCTTGCTTCAGTCGGTGATCAGAAACAAGCGGAACCCCAGTCCTTGGACTGACGGGGTTCGCGAGCTCAAGTCGTAACATCTGATCGTTGAGGCCTGCCCGGTAGTCGGTTTCTGCCTCAGTGTAGTGCTTGACCCTTTGGGCTCGCTCTTCGGCTTTGGCTTCAGCCTCCGTCTTACTCTTGAGTCTTGCCTCGGGCGAACTGGTTGAGACGCTCCACGAACTCCGACTTAACCTGAGAGGCTGCTGGGGCTTGCTGGACAGCTTCTTGGAGACATGCCCAGTTGGCGGCGTCGGCGTCGGCCACAGCTTTGAGAAGATGCAGGCGCACATCCCCGAACTTGACCTTTCGCCTTCGAGGCCTGGGTAAGTCTCCTTCGGTGATCATTTCAAGATCCTTAGGTGGAAGGTATTCGATTCCCTTGGCATCTCCAGGGGGGCGGTGGCGCATTGGGCACACCCTCTGCTGCTGGTGCTCCTCCTGGGGTCTCTGTTGCACTGGGGACGTCGACACTCTCTTCAACCTTCGTGGGTATCACTTCTTCGCTCTTTGGAAGGGCTGCGGTCGTTTCGGCTTTGGGCTGAGCCCTTCGGTCAGCCCTTCAGTCTTCTCTTGTTTAGGTTCTACAAGTTCTGTATAGACGCTCCTGCTGGGATGGCCTGGGCGATTTCCACCTCAGAGTCAGTGCCCCCCCAATCAACTTCCATTTCTCCCTGTGCTTCCCCGGCGAAACGCGCCTCGGGTCGCGAGGTCCACAGCAAGGCCATCTTCGAAGTTCTCGGGTAAGTTGCTCCCGAGGCCTTTGGCGACGTCTAGGATCTCTTCGGTAATGGGTTTCTTCTCTTCTTCTGGCATGGGACCCCATCTGCCTGTCACTTTGGGCCTGATGGCTTGACATCGGTGCTTTGGCAGAGCTCGCTGCCGAGCCATGCTCATCTTCTCGGTCCTCAAGGCTTCTGCCTTCAGGTAAGCCGTCCCACGGGGTGATCCTAATGATTGCGGCTGGCGGTACTGTCGAATCACAGAGCCACACCTTGTTGCCGGTCTTCCGGAACTTGCATCCAAGGTCAACGGCTTTCTTGACACCGATATCTATCCGTGTTTCGAGGCCGACCCGCCACCGCTCTGCGCGTTCCTCGGGGTCGTGGAAGTGGACATCTCGGTCGCCTCTCACCAACCCCTTCTTCTGAATGGACGCAGTGTGACGTCGGTAGCTGCCATGCGCCAGCAAGGCCGGGAGTTCCTCGGTTGGGACCACTGCGGCTGGGCCAACAACTCTCCCCTGCGTGTGGCCCGACCAGGCCGCGACCCACCAGACTCCATCAGTGTCTCAACGAGTCGGTCCTTTTTGTCCTGGTCGAGTGCTTCCAGCAGCACCCAGTTTTGGAATCTTTTGCAGGACTGATGCGCGGCGAGTTGTTGCCATTTCACCCAACCTTCTTCGCTGATGGGGCACTCCTCGGTGCCCGCCGCATGCATCAGCACATAGCACATGGCTTTCATTGCCTGCTCATGGAGAGGGAGACCTTTGTTCTTGTTCTTCTGTTTTCCCCCCACAAGGCCGGCTGATCCCTGCTTGGGATTGTCTTGGAGCCACTTCATCAGGACCCTTTCAGTCTCTTCCTCCCAGGCGAGTCGACAGACTCCCACTTTGTCGGGGAGATTTTCCCCCAGGAGTTGTTGAGCTGCCCAGTGCACTGCCGCATCAGCCAGCTTTCTGGGGGTCGCGTCAAGTAACATCTTGGGGTCTCCGCATGCGGTGCGTCTGTCTTCCTCCTGATATCGCGAGCTCCTGCCGTGCAACAACTTCGCCGCTTCAGCAGGTGTGATTGTTCGAGCAGCCGGGCCGTCGGGCCCCTTCCCAATCAGCAAAAGCCGATCATCCCTTTCTGGCTGTCACGATCCGTCACCTGATAGATCAAATGAGTCTAAATTTACTCCGTTAAGGATTTAGTCCGGGGACTAAAGAGTAAATGATCATTTAGACCGGATCCCGACTAAATTCTCCGAGAGTAAATGATCATTTAGTCCGGGCTACAACTGTGCAATTTGCACTCTCCAGAGTGCAAATTGCACAGTTGGTTTTTGGAGCTCAAACTTGAACAGTGCAAATTGCACAGTTCAGAGTGCAGTTTGCACAGTTGGGTTTTTGTGTTGTAGTTGTTTGTTGCTTTTTTGTTGTGTTGTTTTGTTGTGGGAGTTGTTGTGTTTGTGGTGTTTGGGTGTTTTCTTGGTTGCTTTTTTTTGATTTGTTTGGTGATGTTTGTTGTGTTTTGTTGGCTTGCTGGTTTTTCTGATCGTATGTGTTTTGTGCTTTTGTGTGTTTGTTTGATTGTTTTTGTTTGTTTATTTCCTTCTGTCTGCGCGCCTTTCTTTACTTTATTTTCTTATCTTTGCTTTTCTTTCTTTTTTCCATTCCTTCCTTTTTCTGTCCTTTTGTCCTTTTCCTTTCCTTTCCCTTTGCTGTTCCTTTCCCTTTATGTTTTCCTTATCCTTTCCTTTTGCTTATCCTTATCCGTTAATTTGCACCCTTTCTTGCTGTTGTACCATTTTTTCCTTCCTTGCCCTTGCCTTTCTTCATTTTTCAATGTCTTTCCTCTTGTTCTTTCTTTGTCTTTCTGCCGTTTCTCCTTTCTTCCTTTTCCTTTTCGCGTCTTACGTCGTTCTTCTTCCTTCCTTGCTTTTGCTTGTGCTTCCTTTGTTTTTTTTCATTTCTTTTCCTTTCTGTCGCTGCTCCTTTCTTCCTTTGTTCCTTTCTTTTCCTTTCTGTCGCTGCTCCTTTCTTCCTTTGTTCCTTTCTCACTTCCTTCCACTTTCTTTTTGTGTCTATAATGTTCTCTTTTTATGGTTGCTTTACTATTTTGTTGGTGTCTGTCTTCTTCTCCTTTATTGTTTTCTTTGTTTATTTGGTTTCTGTGTTTTCCTTTGCTTCTTTTGTTTTTGCGGTGCAAAAGAACGACCACGCAGTGAAACAATCACACAAAACAACTTCATGTCGCAGCATCGTTCTTGCCTGAAACGTTCTTGCTTTATGTGTTCTTGCGCTATAGGCCCTACAACTGCGAGCTGTGAAACGCTTGCTTTTGATGGATCTTTTGGTCCCGACCTTTTTGTTTCACAGTTTCACAAAACGACTACAACATCAAGCAAAGTTCTGGCTGCTCTTGCTGCTTTCTATGTGCGCAGCTCTACTTGTTATGGCATCTCAGCTCTATTTGTGATGGCATCAGGTCTTGCGTGTTTTGTCTTGTTGACATAGAACGAAAGCATTCAAGGCATTGTGTAGCAGTTTGCATTGCAGTGTCCAGCATGCATGTCTTGCTGTTGAGGCTTTTGGTCTTGCATGTTTTTAGTTGATATAGGTTCTTGCAACTTGTGTGGAACTTGGAAAGCGTTTCAAGTTCAAGTCACAAGTGTATTGGTCTAGTCTGGTGCCCCGCACCAAGTATGTCCAGTCTAGATGTTGCCTTGGAGCAGCAAAGCAATGCTGCCAAAACAAAACTGAAAGAACGTGCCGGCAAATCACGATTGGTCGCAGACAGCAGCACTGGAGTCCGAGACATTCAGAGCGTGCTGAGAAACTTCCTCACCTACAAAGAAACTAGTGACCTGCATGCTTTGATCTCTCCAGGAAAATTTGCAAAGCTCACCTGGAAGTCTCAACCAGACCCAGAGTACATTGTGAAAATGGCGAACCTTTGCTACGACTTGGCTGCCATTGCCCCAAACTCTAAACTTGCAGGGAAAAAAATCAGGGAAGCTTTGCAAAAGCTTCTTGACCTTGGTGAAGTCAGAAACACAACCGAGCGAGAGAACAAATCCTTCATTGACAACTCGGACCTCCTGATTCGAATCGCTATGGGGATGTTTCGATCTTTAAAGTATGACCTGCTTAAGAGAGATCAAGTTCTGAGGAGGATTGGTAGCCCGGATTCCAACAAGATCAAACTTGTGTTGGAGCGATTGATCCTTCCAACGGATTATGATGGAGGGGTCAGTGATGGTGAAGAAGATGCCACTGCTTGGGCGGCGGCAGACGGTGGTGGTTCTCGCAGTGATCTCGCCCTCCCTCTCCAGGATGCACAGGACTTTGACATCTCTGAATTTGAGAAGATCAGCAGCAATCAGCTTCAGCCTTTACCTCATGCTGCCCCAGCTACACCTACAAAAGGTCCAACTTCGTCCAACTCTGTTGGCTTCAGCCCCGATGTATCGAAAACATAGCCTCAGGGCAGATTCACCGGAAGTTCGGCATCCTTTCGCATGAGCCGACTTGAGTTGGGACCCCCATCACCTGTGAAGCGCAAGTTGAACCTAGATGAGAAGTTGCTTTATGAAGCAGAGGGCCACATCCCAAAGAAGGCAGTGCCAAAGTCGAAGGCAGGGCCCATGAAGAGGCCAGCCATCAAGCGTCCACCATCCTCTCTCCCTCCAACCAACTCTCATGAGCCTAATGAAGTTCCTGGTGAAGGAGCAGTTGGTCATGCTGATGATGGCGATGAACGAGGTGATGAACCGCCCACTAAGCTGATGTTCCGGAAGAATGTCCACAGCAGGGCCTACAACAAGGAAAAAAAATGCACAACTCAAGGGAGGCGCTGACCTCGAAACTGCGAAGGATGCTGCCCGTTCCGCTGGTGCTGCTGCTGTGCGAGAGGCTGAGGCGCAAGGTCTTCTTGAGGATTGAGTGGTAGATTTGTATGCAAATGTGTAAGTGTAGAGGCAGCTTCATTGGTTTCAAGCTAGCACAAAAGCTTTCGCGGAAATATATTTCTTGCGCATCTTGCAAACGCCACACCCAGATTATGTTCCAGAAGTTCTTGCACAGGTTCTTGTACACCGAACACGCGAACATTCTTGCAAACATGTGTTTTTGATGTCTTGCTTTCCTACTGTGAAGTGTACACCGAACATGCGAACATTCTTGCAAACATGTGTTTTTGATGTCTTGCTTTCTTGCTGTGAAGTGTTTGCAATGCTGCTAGATTTGAGCTGTGCGTTTGAGATGTTCTTGAGTTTACCATTTGGAATCAGCTTTGAAGATTCTTGCTTGGATGTATTGAAATACTGCAAGATTTGAATGCCCAAGCGCTGCAAATGCACAGTCCATGTGTACATTCACATTTTGCACATGTATACTTTGTTTTGGTTTTTGAGTTTAGTGTGCTTCCTCTACTAGTTGTTGTTCTTGCAATGGCTGCTGAGCCTCAGCGCTTGTATATTGGTGGATGGAAGATGGGTATC